ATACCGCATAATCAAATAAACAAACGCCAAATTCAAAAATAGAAATCAAATTAAACTGTTCGATGTTTAGTATATTCCAATTCCAATTCCATTAAATTTGAAATTAAAGTCCACGTGTGTTTTGTTCGATTGAAGGGAGCACCTGCCGAAATCGGAGAAAGGAGAGTGGGTGAAGGCAGGGCGCGAAGAAGAGCGAGAATTGGCACCCCAAGCCATGCCTAGGGTTTTCTGGCTCGTCTTCTTCCTTTTACTACTGGTATTGCTGCTTGTAGGGTTTGAACTGAGACTCCGTTTAGATTTGGAGCCGGAATTCGCAGAGCGGGATGAATCCAAGCTCATCGTCGCTTTGAAATTGAAATGTTGTTTTGCGACTGTCAAACTTGCAACGAAAGTTTTAGAGTGTCGCGGCAAAAACCAAAAGTTGGGATTGTTGACCAAAACGGTTAAGGGGAAATCTTATTTTCACTCTCAGTTGTTTGTGTCAATATAGTTTCTAATTTTTAATTTTAAATAATTTAATAATTAAATTGTTTAAAACTTAGTCGATTAAACTCTTTTGATGATCAAATTTAATAAAATTTAAAAATGAGAAAATTATCATTTTGGTCTATCATAAGATTTAATTAAATAATGTTAAACAATTTTATAATCAGATTAGTTGAAATTAAAAATTATAGACTATATTGACAAACAATTGAGGGACCAATATAGTGATTTTCCCAAACAGTTAATATATAATTTCCAACCTCGGGGGCAGATTATGGCCTCGTTTGGTAATTGAGTATTTATTCGGAGTGTTAGCAAATAGAAATTTTGGTAAATTATTCATGTTCGTGTTTAGTAAGTATTTGTTTATGTTTGTTTATTAGGGTAAACGAATATAAATGAACAAATTTTTTTAAAAAAAATCGTTTAATAAACGAATAAAGTATGAACATTGTGAACTTTATCCTAGATGATAAAAATGACAATGAAAAAAAACATATATAGTTCAGCTCGATAGATATATTGTCAATGAACAAAAGATTGAAAACAAATACTCAGGTGGTGTGTAAGATTTTTCAACCAAAGTCGTTTGTGTTTGGTTCGTTTACTGTCCTACTATGTGTCAAAGAGTTAATTATAAAAATAGTCCATTGACTATTGCCATTTAACATTTTTTATCTCCGATTTTCAATTGAACCATAAATGATCTATTGACAATTGACATTTACTAATTTTTATCATCAACTTTCAATTTGATCATAAATGATCACTTGACTATTGATTTTGTTACAAATTTGATCATCAAAGTTTACAGATATTTTTTGTATTTTTGAAAGGAAGGGGATACCCGAAGTTGAAAGTAGGCTACAGTTGGCGCCATAAAGGCACACCAAGAACATCATCATCTAGAATATCTACAAGGTCAGGAATTGGGGCTTGGAGGGTGTAAGTTCCCCTATCAAATTTTCCAGCTTTGGCAGCAAGGTAGTCTGCAGCACGATTTTGTTCACGGGCAACGCAATCCAACTTCATGGTCCTTAGCAACATGGCTTCATGCTTGCAAGCGATGATGAGGTTATCAACAACATTCTCAAACTTACAAGTTTGCAGATATTAATTGCGTTGTATTCCTTTGAGTAACGCATATGAGGTTATCAACAGCATTCCTTTGGTTCACATCATCACAAAGAACAACCGCAGCAAGTTTGCAGATATTGATTAACATGTTATATGTCTGCAGTTAACATATTTTGAACATGCAGTTAACAGTTTATGTGTTTATAGTTATTATGTAATGTGTTTATAATTATCATATGATTGCATTCAATTTGTTTACAAGTACAAAAACGATTGACTGCATGTACAAAATGTGTCAATTGCAAGTACAGAATCTGAAGGTTATTTTTGGATTAAGGTCCACAATGCAAGTTAGACCATGATTCATTGTATAATTTGCCGGTGCTAGAGCCGTGGCCTGTCTTGACTGTTGGTTACTACAGCTTATTGGACTATGTTTTTGGATGCAGAAAATAATAGTACTACAACATATATAGAGACTAACATTCTTTCTCATATCGTTATCATTTTAAGGATGAAGTTTTGAGGTATGATTGTGGACAAATGCTTTTAGATCTATGGGCATTCCTTCTTGACTTATACTCTGGAGTTATGCCCATAATGCTCCCAATTTGGATTTACCCATTCAGCAGTTCTGGAGTCACATGTTGTTGTTGAACTTTAAGGGTTCATTTGATTTGTCTTTATGTTGCTCCAAATTGTGGAGTTCCTTTCAACAGGACCCTGGAGTGCAACAACTAATAGGCTTATTGAGTTCATGGCAATCTGGTTGAATCTCACACAGATATGCCTGTCTTTTACCTATTATGCGCATGAAATAATGAAACATATCAATTATGCCCCATTTCTCTCATATGTAGCAACTAAGCAAGCACATCCATCTAATTCCTAATTAGTTGTTAGGAAAAAGACATGATGCTGAACAGAAAAATTAAATTATTATACTTAAAATATGACTAGTTTGTGATTTGGGTTTGATTTTTTTTTTTTTTTTTTTTTTTTTGTGACGAGGGAAACCTACCTCCACTATTTTTTTGAATACAGAGGAAGGATGAAGCCTGAGAAGCAAAAACAAAAGACCTAATCCCTTATAGTTGAGGGCATCCCCTTGATATCATACTGGATAATCTTCATCAGATCACCAGGGGTAGGTCGAAAGCAAAACAAAACCAAGATTAGAACCATGATGTCTAGAAAGCCAATCTTCATCAGATCACCAGGGGTAGGTCGAAAGCAAAACAAAACCAAGATTAGAACCATGATGTCTAGAAAGCCAATCTTCATCAGATCACCAGGGGTAGGTCGAAAGCAAAACAAAACCAAAATTAGAACCATGATGTCTAGAAAGCCAATCTGCAACTTGATTTTGCTCCCTAAAGACATGACAGCACTCAACGTTCCAATCTCTACGCAACCAACTTTTGCACTCAACAATGATGTTTTTCAACGACTCACCGCCTCTAGCTGCGTACATGGGGTCGTTAATCCACCTACCTCCACTATTTGATGTGTGCATTAGGTAAACTTTATTTGCAAACCACACACATACCAAAAAAAAAAAATAATAACGTACTAGGAAAGGTATGTGCAATGAAATCGATCGAGAGAATATTAGCAAGATGATAATCATGCTCCACTCACTCAGCAATCCTGAACATTACGGTATAAGATTGAGATTTTGTGTGATTCTAAAAAGCTTAATCTTTACAAAAGTGAACTTCCGTAGAGAATAAGTTCTTTTGAGCTTCTTAATTAATTCAAGTGGCTCACCTAAAGTCAAAAGAACCAAGTGTCCAAACTATTGAGGGTTAGAATGTTAGATAAATAATAAATCAATTATAGTGCATAGAGTATGAATAGATAGAAGAGGAATAAGGTGATGGAAGTGTTCCTTCCTCTGGGACAAATAATTTAGGAGCCACTTGCAAGTTGTCCAATGTCCGTATTGTGTGGATAGTCATATGTAAAGCCATCCCATGAAATGAAAGGTCCAATGAACGCCAACCACTTGGCTTTTTTCCTTGAGTGGTCCTTTTGATGCCCCTTTCACCTGTCCCATGATTTATACCTCCTTTTGTATTTAAGTTTTGTAGTTTGATGTAGGCAAACAAGATCTTTCTTTGATCTTTGCCCCTTTCCTACTTTAATAAAAACAACTTAAAGCCACGCAAGTACACACAACCCCTTGTGGCAATCTCTCATCCCATCTTTTTCTCAAGTTGAGGTGAGACTATCAAAAAAGTTGAAACACCTCTAGGGGGCGTTTGGTTCACAGAATGTTAGATTACCTTAGGAAATATTAGATTGCTGGAAATGTTATATTCCTATGTTTAGCTTAAAACTAAGATATGTAAATAAGACAACGGTAATAAGATAAATTGATTAAAACGTCCAAAGCCCAACATTAGTAATAAGACAAGGAAATGTGAGATTACCTAAGAAATTTGAGGGTATCTCACATTCCCTTCCAATAGCTAAAAACTTAATGCGGAGGTTATCTGGCATTCCCTACATAATCTGAACCAAACATGAGAATCTTATATTACCAAACAAATATAACTTTGGTTATCTTATATAACATAAACCAAACACCCCCTTAATGTACTCAAACTCATTGTTAAACTAGATTACAAGATTTATGATGATAAATTTACCACAAAAAATTTGACACATACTCTCTAGGGACTATGGATATATATACTCCTGTAAAACATCTATCCATTCAATGTCAACAAGGGAAAATTTTTGTAAGATTTTATGTTGTGTCTAGTTTAGTTAATAACTCTTAAAAGAAAGTAAGCCATTTGGTGAAGAAATACATTATTTGTATCCAACTAAAGTATACTTTCTAGAGATTCATCTATCTATTCCGTGCTTTGTCACCCTAAATTCTTAGGGGGGAAACTGTCACTGTAAACTCCAACTTAAAAAAAGAAGCATTGCATCATCATCCTTATCTTCTATGGAATGCCTTATCTCAATTGTACTTTCATATACTATACCTACAACAAGGAATAATTTTGTAGTTCTATTGGACCAGACTGATGCTTTGCATTTGCAAGACACCCACTTAGATTTTCGAATATTTAGACAGATAGCTCCAAAATCATGACCAAATACTTCTCCGGACCACTTTTCAACAATCAATCATATCCTGACTCCTCAGAGAAACACTATGCCAAAAACAAGAAAAGAAGAGAAACAAGAATGTCCTCATCCCCTGTATCCTGACATACTATGGTATAATACTATAATCAGCTACTTCTGTAGTAAGAGCTCACAGCTTCAAAACCTTCCGATAATTTCTCCAAGAAATATAACAATACACAAATACATACAGACAGGGTGATCAAAGACTTAGAATGAATACAAAGGGTGCTGATGCACTTATGCTGTTCATATACACCACCACCCACCACAAGGCAAGAATGCGGAGAAGCCCCAACAAGAAGATATCCACGTAGATAGTCATGTTTGGAAGTAAAAACAGAAAAAGGATAGAAAATTTTATCTGATCCTAGTTATTTTTCGTATTTTCATCACCAGTATTGTCAACTTCATGGACCCCACCACTTCAGAAGAAACTGCGTTTAGAACACTAAAATTAATATAAGCCTGCCTGCCACCACTCACTCCAACATATACATTCTTCAGTGAAGCTTATCAATCACTCATTCTTTCAAAAAGGAAACAAATCTTTCTTAGTGGGTTCCATATTTTATTATACTTCAATGTTCATACCTACTTGACATGAAAGATTATGAACTACCAACCACGGGGGAAATATGATAGTACACACTACACAGGAAAAATGATTTACCAATCTCAGTAGATCTTATCTTCTAAGAGTAATTAAAAAGAGGTGGAGTTGTTGAGTCAGCATACAAGACTGTGTTACCTTTGTGCTTCTGAGAGAGGTAGCTGTTCAGTGACAAGTCCCAGCCCTTCACGCCTGCTAAATTTCAAATCATATAAAGATAGAACTTCACCAAAAAATGGAAATAAACAGTCAATAAACAGCCATAAACTTGTAATGGGGGCTGAATTCTAATCATGCAGAAGCACTGCACAAAGAGATGCAACTATAACATGGTGAATATTAGAAATTATTAGAAAGTGGGATCTATGAAAGGAAATACAAACTGTAGCATTATGATTAAAGTATAGAGAGAACTGTAGAATCATAGTAATATTTCAACCTGTCTATTCTTTTCACTCCAATGAAAGCAAATTAAAAGTGAATTGAAAATGCTATTATAAAGTGGGGAATCCAAGTATGATAGAGGCTAGAGTGAAAACTGACATAAGCATTGTCCCCTCGAACACCAAGCACCTCTAGGTGGTGCAATATATTTAAGTCACCTACTCGCCATTCCTCCAACTAGATATCATTCTTATTCTTTTGCTCTCTTATCAAGAGCAAAGTTAAAAGCCCAGGGATTATCATCTCCCAAGGTCCTCTCTACGTGTTCAGCAACCTGGACACTCCCTCTACTGAAAATTAAGGAGGAAATGGCAATTTCCGCACAGCAGAATGAGAAGTGAGGATCGTGATCAGGGATCAGTACTTGGTCCAGGAGAGTGGTTGAGTTTAGGCCTGGGAGAAGGTGTGTCTTCAAGTCCTACTTCACCTAAGGTATTTTCATGTAATTTCTGTATGCGAAAGTTTTACAGCTCACAAGCATTAGGTGGCCACCAAAATGCTCACAAGAGGGAAAGAGGTGCAGTAAGAAAACTCAACTCTCGGAGGATGATGACAATGCTGTCTATGCCATTCCATAATCCTATGTTCAGGTCTTTGGGCGTTATGCCTCATTCAGTTCAGCATAAACCAAGCGAGGATGGAAGTATAACCGCGGCAAGGTTTAGCAAGGCTAATACAAGGTTCTCTATGTCAGCGCTGCCTGATCCAATGGACAAGGCAGCAGCAGACTCAATGTGGCCAGGAAGTTTTTGGTTCAATCCACAACAATCAGAAGAGCAGTCATCAAATGATTCAAATCCATATAAGCTTGACCTAAATCTGAAGCTGTAACTATTCTCTTCATCTGTCTCATATTGAAGTCTACTTTCTTTCTACTGCAGTCCACGGAACTTCAAGTTGAAATTCCCAGTTATGTTCACTAACATTTAAGAGCTTTGGGGTTTCCTTTAGAGCAAACATCTTAGAATGTCAAGGACAACTTTAAATGTTTTGAGCTTTTGTACAACTTTAAATGTTTTAAGCTTTTGTATCAATCTTGTACTAGGTAAAGCCTAAATGCAGTGTCTATTTTAAGTTGTTTCTATTGCTGATAACCTAAAACACCTATCAAATATCCTAACCCTTTGCCAAGCTTGGGCAGAAGCTTTCTTACCTTATTCTATTGCAGTTTTTGTGATCAAAATTGCAATTGAGTTCTCTTTAGGAGAATCAAACAATCTATATTTCAAATCTTAAGGGATAAGTGAGTTTCTTTAGTGAGCTAACTATTTCAAAGTTCAAACCCTCAAAAACCTTCCTCAACAGTGAACCTTTTCTCTTTGTGGGGTGGCGGTTCAGATCACTCATGGAATCAGTGCTTCATGAATTTTAGTGGATTCCACATACAAGGCCACTAAAGACGAAACTCTGCCATACAAGCTTTGGCATTTCACACATTCCTGTATACTTCTAGCAATCTACTTAGTTAATTCTCTTCTAAAATATGCAAGGAAATGCAGAGTTCTATGAAGTCCAAAGGCTGACTATTGACAGTAGCTGATGCATTAGACTTTAGTTAAATATCACAAATGTAAATTGTTGCATTTCATATGTAAAGCATATATGTGCCCATAGTGAAACTCTTTCATCATTCATTATGCTAAGCGTTTCAAAGATGGCTCTAGGTGTAAAACTTGGGTTTTATTTTATTTTATTTTATTTTTTATTTTTTATTTTTTATTTTTGCATATGGCGTCCTGGTTTTTAGACTTAAAGCAAGTATTCTTCCCATAAAATATAAAGGTTTAATAGCACATAATACTCCAACCATAACACATACAAACAAAACAAACAATATTAAATAATTAAATAATAATAATAATAATAATAATAATAATAATAATAATAATAATAATAATGGCTGCCTAGTTGGCCAACCGCCGATTTCGCATTTTTCCCATCAGCCTAGGGGCACCTATAGCCTAGGCCAATTTTTACAACATTGGTCCAGACATTGAGATCGCATTATCAGTAAAGGAAGGAATTTGTCAATGAAATTTATGGACACAAAGGCCTTTCATATTGGTTCTTTTTAACTTCACAAAGTATTTTTATACCCCCCCCCCCCCCCCCCCCCCCCAACAAAAAAATAAATAAATAAATAAATAATAATAATAATAATAATAATAATAATAATAATAATAATAATAATAACCTCTGCCATTCTATCGCTCTCATGCTCGAATCCAATGCAAATTGACCAGGAAATAAATGGAGATGAACATATAAAGTCAGAAAGGACATTACATTATGTGCAGGTACTGAACAGACAGTAATAGGATAATAAAATTATATCACTTGTGTGAATTCCTTAGATTGTTCATTGCACAACCACCTAGAGTACATATCATAGCTTACATGGTATCTGAAATATTGAGTTTTTGAGTTCTCTGCAGAATAACCGGAAGCCTTTCACTGATAATGCTTGGATCATTATATGCGGCAGAATCAATAGGTAATCCTTTCTGCAGAAATTAATTACACCAACAAGAGACAAATGTTTCAAGCAAACTTCAGAGTTAAGCAAGTACAAACTCTCAACTGAAAAATAGAATGGAGACAGAAATGCAATTAAAAGTTTAAAACCAAAGTTCTACAGTGTACTTTTAACTGAATAAATCCTTACAGCCTAATTATTATGGCTGAAATGCAAACAACACACCCTACAGTACAATGGAAACTGTTGATGGGCTGTAATGAATAAGTGGCTGCCTTAGATTGTCAGAGAACATTAGGGCCACCAAGAGGGAGAGAAATAACTTACAGAAGATAAGGATTGAAATGAGGTTTCTCTCCAGCAGCTTTCACGAAGAATAACTGATTTTCCATGCTCCACAAAAGCACAATGCAAACGGGTATCTCTCAGCCGCATCAACGCCCCATCAACCCTAAGCTGTTAGATAGCCAATTAGTCAAAGGAATAGACGCTCTAGAATAAGGCAAAATTTCAATCAATCAATTCTTGATTATGAACTTGATTGTTTGGACAGACTAACTCACCCAAAAACGCATCAGAAGGAACCAACCACTAGGCATGACTCGCTAGACAATTACAAAATTAAAGATCAGTCCATGGACAACCCTGAAGATGCTTGCATTGACACTAAGGTAGAAAATCAAAGTCAATGTTTACCACTTTAACCGTCAAAAGAGCTATTCCACTATCAGCTAATTCATCTTCATATAAGACAATCTGTTAAAAGTTGGAACAAACATTACTTGTGCTGCCCACAAGATATTAAAGACAAGAATATGATAAATATATATGCCTACGTGGCTACATGCTCCATGAATCATCTGATGATAGAGTCACTACCTCATCATAAAATAGAATAGGTTCCCTTAATGCAAGTGCAACCAAATCAATTTTCTCCTTGCAATCCTCCCACTGAAGACTGCAACTGCTTTTGTTCAAAGTTCCTCTTTCATGCTGTTCACAGCAACAGAAAAAATAAATTGAATAAGTCAAGGCAAAACTAAAAGCTAATGAGCTCATCAAAATTTCTATAGAATTGCAGAAAAGATATAAATCAAGAAAGGCAATGGAAGAGATTACTCTGAGAACAACCTTAAATATGAGTCATTTGCATTGCCAGTTTAATAATTAATCTTCTAAATAAGTCTACAATATAATATAACTGGATAACTGATCATTCATGAATTACTAAATTCTTATGCAATAAAGTGGTTGTACAAACCTGAGAATTTATTTCAACTGTTTCACTTCCATAGTATGGTGTTGTGAAGGTATAGTCATAATCAAGCACCAATTGCTGTGAAGGTTTACTGCAGGATCAAGAAAAAAGTGAAAAAAAATAAATAAATAAAAAATAAATAAATAAATAAAATACTCATTTGAGCTAAATTCATGTCAACTTTCAATCAACCAGAAGTCAACACTGAAACTTGAGAGCAATTTGCTGGAAGTCTGAAAGTATCTAATAGCAATATCCTTTGTTTTTCTACTTAAGCTGTCCTGATTCATTATACTCTAAGGAGGCATTTGGTTTTAATGACGGTATAAGGGGGATTATAGGTTTGGAATTGCATGAGATTATAAGATTAGATAAAAGATGAAACTGAATGGGACTAGATTAATAGTACTACATTTGGTTGATTGGTTCATAGAAATTGTGGGACATAACTAACGTCTAACAATACTATGTTTGATTTGGAGAACTAATGATGGCACTAAATTTAACAATAACAAAACATTAGAAAGCTGTCAACACATAGGTTGGGACGTTGGGTAGCAAGTTAGGGGGGGGTTGACCAGGTGAATATGTTAAGAGGTAGTAGGGGGTGAGATTGTTACGCCCATGGATTGGATCTCCCACAAGATGCCATCCCAGGCATTTAGGCCAAAAGCAAACAAGGGACTTGGTGGTATAATGAGGTATTGGAGTCTAATCCACACTAAACAAGCAACCTCTAAGGAGCCATTATTATCATATTCAGCACTTAATGGTGAATTTGAGAAAATGCACTGAGCTGATTTAGTTTAGTATGCAACACAAGAGGATGAGACTTGATATCCTAACTTTCACTGAAAATGCTAATGTAACTTTTCAAACAAATAAATGTTAATACTGAAATGCAAATATTCTTAGTCACTTGGAGTGTTAAAATGAAATTTCATTTTCATTCTCACTTAGAAAGAAGTGAAAGAGAAACTGTACTTTCTGAATTTCCATTTTGCAGCCGCTGGAACTTCAACAGGTGGCAGTGCTTCCTGCTTCCAACCAACCAGTGCATCAAATGCATTAAAGTGAATTTTAGTACCAGTAGCCACATGTTTAAGAATCAGAGCATTCTCCCCAAATATCATCTCTGGCAAGTGGGATGTTTGAAGTCTTTCTTCCCATCTGCAATATACACTGCTATTAGTCTGAGGAAAAAATCCATTATATTATTGGAGAAACAACTTCCCACTGTCCTTGTCTTAGCCATTGATATTTGATATATAAACAGATATGCAAGAAAAAAGCAATATGCTTTCTATATATTATAAATTATATTCAGCCTATGTTTCATCCATTACAAAACAGAGGCTCTCCCTTCCTTTAAACCAGAGCTCAACAAATTAAGAATTGAAAGATTTTGCAGTGTGTTTTCTAAAAGGTGCAGTTTGCCACGAATTTGGTGTCTGCCACTTTGATTGCTAATTTGCCAAAGTTAGGGCCATTACTTTGCTTGAGCTGTGCAACTTTTTCAAAGCTTCCATTGGTTCTTTCACTTGAGCATTAGGAATTGTTATAGGCCCTGAGAAATCCTTTTCCTATGAGTGCTAGTCAGAGAAGAGGGTTGTAGTTGAATGTTGTGCGGTCTTTGGCAGCTCTCTACAGCTCAATGATATCTATACTTCATATAATTCTCAAAAGTTTGTTTTTTTTTTTTTTTTTTTTTTTTTTTTTTTTTTTTTTTTCCAAAACTCATTCAATCAGAACAGCAGGAAATCTAATTGAAACAATATAAGAAAAACAAAAAATTTCTTGCAAAAATATATTTCAGTCGATTCAGGAAATGAAAATCCAATCGCACGGACCTAAACATGCACAGGAATTGATGTTTAGCTCACAAAAATTTAAAATGCTACTAGTGAATCAGAAGCAGAAACAGAAAGGAGAGTACTGTTGACGATGTGCGGAGTTGAGAATGGAGCACTTGCGAGACTCGATCTCCCAACCGTGAATGCGAAGTCCTCGCCGACCGCCGGAGAGTAGCTCAGCTCCGGCCGCCTTTAATTCTTTCTGGTCGCCCTCCCACTCCATCCTTATCAGATACGGAGTAAATAATACGGGATTATTTGTAAATTTGTAAAATTTATTAAAATAAAATCAAAATACACACTGCTTTAGGCTATCGTCAAGCGAAGTCGGAAACGACATGGATTGATTAGGTATTTCCGGTTTTAAGGACGGGGATGAATTAATTTTCAGTAATTGCACTTTTACCCGTAAATTAAGCATAAATGATAAATTAGTCTTTTATCCCTTTTCTTTTTTTTTTTTTTTTTGGTGAAGCAAAAGCACATTCATTAGCATAACGCAAATTA